GGGGGGGGGGGGGCGGGGGGCAGTAGACAGAGTGGCTGCATTCAGCAGTGTGTCTTAAGTTACTGCTCCGTACCAACTCCTCCTTTTTAATGTTATGTATCAGCTCTTGATATTGTTCTGAGCCACATGAATGTCTGATTAACAGAGGTGACGAGCACAGATGAAGTCTGCTCCTCCTGTAGTTGGCTCACACTTTGCTATTTTCTCAGCTAACTTTTGGCTTTGATTAAACTTTGATTATCTTTTCACCTATATTTATATTTTTAAATTATTTTCAGCCCTTAACTTGTATTCACTTTTAGCTTTATTAGCTCACCTGTTATCACTTTAAAACAGTCTCCTGTCTTCTTGACTAACCTTTATGTATTTAGCTGCTAATTGAGGCAGATTTTTAGCCGGCAGCAACTTTAGTTCTCACTTGTTTTTTTGTCTGTACTAACTCTACTATTTTGTTATATCATAGTTTAATATAGAGGAACTTCTTTCTGCCTCAGTATTATTTATTTAGTGAACTTTTGTCTAACTCTGTCTGTCATGACTGTCATTTTGAGTGATTGTTGATTGTTGTAGACTGACAGATCTGTCACATTTCTATATAGATATATCTTTAGTCTACTTTCTTCTCACTTTTAGCTTTTTTTTATCTCTGACATTTTAGACCTTTTGTTTTTTTGTTTTCTAAGGAAAGTGTAAACTACTGACTAATGGCTAACCATTTCTTGATAACATAACCTACATGTTTTATACAGCAACAACTATTCAATATAATTAGAAATAAATGTCATTAGAATAAATCCTAAGGTCCTCTCTTTCCTCTGACCTTCTGATTATGTCCCTCTCTCGTCTACAGACAGACGGTTTGGTTCGTGTCAACGGCAGCATGTGTGACGACGTTCCCTCTACACCTGAGAGCCAGGGAAGAAATTCTCCTCCTCGCTTCGAGGCGTCACCTTCCAGCACCAACACTGAAGCTGCTGCCGCCTCTGCAGCATCACCAACACATCACAGTGTAGACACTTCTCCAACCAGAGGAAGCCCGGGGTCAAAGGACATCACCAAACAACATGGCAGTGACGGGCAGCCTGAGAACAACCAAGACCAGAAAGGAATCGAACAGTCGTCGCCACCGAGCCGACCCACGTCACTACCAGGGGTCAGAATGAAGTCCTTTACTTTCAAGAAATCAGTAGAAAGTGAGAAAGGATTTGGCAGTAGGTCCATAAATATTGCAAGTAGATAAAATCTTGGAGAGTGAATAATTATGTGTTAAATGGACGCTTTTTATTGACACAGTGAGTCGGGCTGCATTAAATAGTCGTAAGGCCGAGGGGAGGAAACACCTCCGGAAACACTCCGGAATTCCTGCACTGTGGCTGCTGCAGTCTGCTGCTACAAGAAAGAGCTGCTAGAATATAAACTAGTTTTGTGGCCTTTACAGGAACTGCAGAAGCCGGAGGAAAGCTTTGTCAAGGCTGGGAAACAAACAATAGCGCCTTCTACAGTTCCACAGGAGAATCGCTCAAAAGCATCAGTTCCACCAGCGCCTGCTACAGGTTTGGTGTTCACTTTACTGACCCCTTGTGGTCATTAAAACACCGCACATGCACATTGAGAGAAATGTAATCGTCGTTCAGAGACAGAAACTCGTGTTTGTTTGTGTTCAGAAGCCAAAAAAGAAGAGATACAAGTTAAACTTTCAAGCCAAAATATCTCCTGTCCTGTCCAATCAGGGGTCGGCAATCCAACATGTCCAACTGTTACATCTGAGGTGAACAACAATAAATTAAATTATAAAGATTCACATTTCAGAATGTTATAACCCAGCTGTAATCTTTGCACCTATTTTCCAGGCACGGTTCTCCTCTTCGCAGGAGTTTTCACCCAGACGAGAGAATGTACTGAGCTCCTCGGCTCCAGGATCATCTGGGTATCACCCACCGTGGAAAAGCACAGGTCGCTCCACTCACCGTGTTCTATCAGTGAATGCAGCAGCTTCTTTTCCATACACCTCCTCGTTTTTTTTCTCTCCCTCTCCCACTTGCTGTTTTTTGGCCTTGATTTCTTTCTGATTTAACATAAGAATTTATAGATAGAGTCAAAGCAGCTTTACATAATCAATGTCCAACATCAAGACTAATTTACAGTTACTTATGAAACAGTCACACCATAGAGGGAGATAGGTCCAGGAGAGAGAGTTGTGTTGATTAAGATTCTGAATCCTGTTAACCATGTAGTCACTGGGTCACTAGCCTGAAATTCCTATTTGACCTTTAACCTATTCAGTAAGTTGTCTGGTCTTGAATAGTTCATTGACTTTCTTTATGTGGTTTGCCCAAGTAGAACAGTAAATTACTGGCCTGTGACAGTATCATGAATGTGGGCCATATCTTCTAACAAATTAAACCAAAACTTTGACCCTTCTGGCTTTGTGTTAAAATAGCCTAAGGTTAGCCAATCTGGCTAAATATTACCCAAAGATATAACAAGGAAAATCACTGGAGGTTAATTTTGGCTGCTCCCCTACCTTACAATTAACCTGTTTAGATAACACTAGGATAACAATAGCCCAATGTTAGCCTATTTAGCTAAATCAAGAAAACAGCTAAACTACCTTACTTAGCCTGTTTAGGTAACATTAGGAGAGAAATAGCTTAAGTTAATTACTGTAGCTAATAGTCTATAGGGATTGGACTTGTAATCAAAGGGTGTTTGGTTCAAATCCTGGCTGGACTGATTTGTTGGACAGGCACCCTGGTCTGGTTCTTGCTTCCTTAAGGGATTAAGAAGTACTGAAAAGGAGACCTGAAGTTGTTGTAGTCTTTGGTCAGACCTAGTCCACATGTGTTACCCAAAAAGCATTGCCAAACATAGGGCCAAAAAGAGGCCAGCATTGGTTTAAGTTTACCTAAGAGGTGGCCCACATTCTGAATACCAGATGACGGGTCGTAATCCATTTTCATATTTGATCCAGGGAACTCTGCTCTTTGGGAATTCTCTGAATGTCCCTTTTCCGAACCCTGTTTTTAACAATATCTATCCTTCATCATTTCTTTACCTCCTACTTTTCCTCCCGCTTTTCCTCCTTCCCTCCCTCTTTTCCCTCCACGTGCATTTTTTTTAAATTTGGCTGTAGAGTTTGAAAACAGTGTCAGGTCTCCTCTGGCAACCATCAACCCTAAGTTACGCTGGGAGTTCTTCGCTCCTGCAGGTAAAACCCCTCACTCATTGGCGGCGCTAGTGTTTGTGCCCACAGGTGCTGAAGACAGCTCCTCTGTTGTCTTCTTGTACAGTCACATTGGGTCACATGACTCATTTTTATTATATTATGTAATATTACTATGTTGCTTATCTGTTTGTTATGTTTGTGGATCGTTGCCATGCAAGGTATACATTCAGTGTACACCCAAATATAACTGATCAGTAAAAATGCTAAGCTAATATTTAAATATTTTGGTGGGTTTCCTGTAATCTGTGATATTCCGTCTCTGTCCTTTTCCATCTTCAGCTTTTCTCCTCAGGTTAGAAAGCCACCACTTCATACCGTCTGATTATCACATACTGTAGTAGCTGTTTCTGTAGTTCTCTCTAAAGACTGTGCTGTTTCTAAATGACTGCGTTTTTCATGCTTCCACTACAGGAGACGGAGAAATATATGGACGTGGACATGTGAGTGAAATATTGACACAAATTCACCAGACATGTAAAATTAAAACATAGTGTTTAGTTCTCTTATACGTAGGCAGCCTTTTATTCCACACACTGTAAATATTGTAGGCACGGTGGAGAAAGACCTCCACAGCCGGGGTTAGTGTGTCTTCATTTTTAGTTAGTTTGAATACATATTGGTTACAATACTAAATTAGGATGTTTTTTTTTCCTGAATGAACGTCAATTACTCCCTACATAAGATCAATAAATATAGATGAGCATGTTTTGCAGAAGTCTATTTTTGTAGCCTTAGATTGTATTCAAACCACTGTCAGGGCAGAGCTCTGATTGGTTACAGAGTTTGGGTGTAGCATGTCAGGTGGAGGTGCTAATGAAGGCTGAGACTGCTTTTCTTTTCATTTGAGCTCATCTCTGTCCTTCTGTGTCTCCTCTCTTCCTAGTAGGTGTCCTAGAATTGGAGTAGTGCTGTTGTGGTAGATCAACTATTTCTGTCCCCTCCCTTCTTTCCCTCTCCCTTTCTTCTCCTGTGGTGGACGTGTGTGTCTGTGGTGCATGACTATCTCTGGTCTGTGTGTGTGGGGGTGGTTTCCTGCATGTTGATACCGTACGTACGTACGTGTGTTGGTGGTTTGTCAGGCGTCTGTGCCGGTGTTGCCACAGACCAGGCGGACTGACCGCTGGTCTTGGGACCCGGATGAGGAGCGAAAGCGTCAGGAAAGGTGGCAGCAAGAGCAGGAGCGAATGCTGCAGGTACACAGTAAAGCTCAGAGGATGAGGCATGATGCATGAGGCTGCAAGGTCAGGGGTTTGAGAGCAGGGTTTAAGTGGGTGGTGCAATAAACCAGCACCAGTTTGAACCTGGTGAAATAGTTTATAATGTATATATACACATATATACATATATGTCTACATATATGTATGTATATACAGTTTATGTATATATATACATATATTTTTCCTAAAAAAAAGCAGTATATGTTTATATATATATATATATTAGATATGTCATCACTCCGATGCAAACAAAAACCAAGCACAGCTTTTGCGGCTCGGTCAATACCGAACGCACCTCACTGCTTTTTTGCAAATCTACCCATACAGTATTTGTTGTCGTTCGAGGAAATGTTGTTGCCCATCTTGTCCACTAGAGGGTACCCGTGTGCAGCAGAAGAAGCTCTAGGCTTTAGTTATGATCCCTATCTCCATCTCATGCACATACAAACGGGCAGATTCCTGTTGCTGCTGCTGCTGCTGCTGCTTAAATCAACGTTCGTCCTCAGTTAATGTGTCGTTCATTTTAGTTGTAAAAGCTCAAAGGGTTCCATTAAATGTTTATCAGGTTGAGAGTTAAAACATTGATGATGTTGGTGTGATTGGTACCTGTTTTTTTCTGTGTCTCTGTGCTTTGGCTCTTACCTCTGTTCTGTGCAAAGTATTTTCACTCGTGGAAAGGGTTCACACACAACTCTGACACAAAACAAAACACGTGGGTCAAAGTTGAATAATGGATTAGCGTGCTTTCTTTCCTAAAACAAAGTAAACTTTGAGTTTGGTAGATAAACTAATGAACTATACCTTTAGAAAGGTATTTTGTGCAGGAAAACAATTTTCAAAATTAGTTTATTAGTTTATTTTTTCCTATATGGCCCAAATAATAAAACAACCAAAGTACAATTCAAGACATAATGATAATGGCTCTGACCAATTCTCACTCGTTTTTTTATAGATCATTTTTTTAATTTTTTAAATGTGACATTGTGTGGGAACCCTGTGCCACATAGACCCCGCTTGTCCTGTCTTCTGCCTCTGCCTGCACGGCCTGCTCATATAGTCTGTTTTGTTGCATCTGTTCCTTAAGGCTATGTCCCTTGCATATATTATCCAGTAAGAAATACACAGAACTTTTCTTATAAATCCTGTTTTGATCAAAACTGATGGTTTTGGAGTTGAAATTTGAAGTTCGAGCTTTTGTCTCATCTAAAAACCATCCAGATGTGAACAGTGTTGTATTCCTCCATGTTAAAGCTCTGGCTCTGTGCCATGTTTCTGTCTCCATGGTAACAGGAAAAGTACAGAAGAGAGCAGAAGAAGCTGAAGGAGGAGTGGGAGAAAGCGCAAAAGGAAGTGGCGGAGGAGGAGAGGAAGTACCACGAGGAGGTGTGTGTGTGTGTGTGTGTGTGAGTGTGCTTCATAACTCATTACTTTAAATTCCATACGATGCATAAGTGTGCAAAAATGCTGTACCGAGGGTTCGAGTCACACAGAGGTTCAGTTCCCCTGGCCAGATTTAAAACATGAATATTGACCTGATCACTGGCACCCCTTTCAAAATTCAGCCCAAAACCATTACAGAGTCCCCACTACATTCAAGACAGAGATTTTAAAACTCCTTAATAGGAAAATAATATAATAATAATATATATAATATAATATTATTTAATAATATAATATAAAAAACCCTTCAGCTTCACTGCGGTCACTGAATAAATGTTTTTACCTCGTATGGTTTCTGTGGTTATTTACTAGGCTGATGAGTCTTACTCTAAATTTTTGCACTACTTCAATATTTTTTTTTTACTTTTGGGGGCATTCCACTTCATGATTACCAATTTTAGTATGAACAGTCTGAACAAAAACATTTTTTATATTTCTGTCAAATCCATGTAATAAGACAAACTCCTTCTTTTGCTCCTCTAACACAGGAGCGTAAGATACTGGAGGAGACTGTAGCTCCTCTCACCCCTCGCTCCTCAGCGCTGCCCTCCCCCAGCCACAGCCGGCTCTCCTCATCCAACACTGAGCCCCAGGACACCATCGTCCGTTCACTGGCCGACTGGGAAAGAAAACAGGAGCTGCTGGAGAAGCAGTCGGTGAGTCGTGGCTTCTTTCCTTGTAACCCTGTCTCCTTTTACCCCTCATCACTTTTACCCGTTTCTGATTGGATCGTTACAGAGGGCGACTACAGAGAGCAACGAGGCCAAGCGAAGGGAAAATGACAGGACGAGTGACATCAGCACTGCTGACGACAGCATGAAAACAGGAAAAAGGTTAGAGCACTGTGAAAATGTTTGCATGTTAGCAGACAACCTGTAAAGTTTGGAGGCTGAGGGCTAATAGTTCATAATAATAAATAATAGTTTAACTGTAATAAAGGTTAATAGTTTTAATGTAAGCTATTTGTGGATCTCTCCAGTTTTCAATACATTTTATAAAACTGAGTAAGCTAACACACATTTGTTTTCAGAAACCTAGATATATGCATAAAACCTTTTTCTTATATTATATTATGATCATTTTTTGCAGTAATTTAATTGTATTGTAAAATGTATTTACAATATTGCAATCATTATCTCATATTGTTCGGTATTTGGAGCCATATCCCTAATGGTGCCTCCCATGTGGCAGCCTGTGAGTTGCAACCACGTACTTAATGGCGCCTCGGTGGCAGCCTTTTTTTTTTTTTTTTTTTTTAATCTAAAGATTTGCATTAGCAGCGGCGATGGACTCTTACAATTACAACAATATTCACTTATTACATGTCTTGTATTATTAAGCTCTGGTTTGTAAAATGTGAAAAAGATGTTTGTATTTTTCAGGTAATAAATGGTTGTCGCACATTATCTCTCAGCAGCTTGGTGAGTCAGAGCAGCAGTCATCTAGAAACTCACAGTCTGCAGAACGGCCAGAAACCTCCTCCTCCTCCAACGCTGATGAAACCCTCGACTTCTGTGAAGAAACATCAGCAGCCGCCTGCCGACAGCAATAAAGCCAACAGACCTGCAGGAGAAAGGAGGTGTGTGAGAGGGAGAGCGAGAGTGTGTGTGTTTGTTCTCGCTTGGAGGCATATGATTGCCAAGTTTTTTTTTTTATTTGATGTTCATAATTTTGTTTTTAATTTTGCAAAGAGTGTCTTTTAATATCTGGAAAGACCAGATATGACATGTTTTCTCTGCCAGGACCTGACAGTATTAGTACATTAGCATTTACTTAAGGTCTTTAAGGGTTTTCGTTGCCTTTCCTTCCAGGAAAAGTGATTATATATTGCCAAGTCTTAATCTTGATTTTTTTTTTTTCATGATTTGCCCACTCTGCACCAAAAACTGTAATAGTCTTTATCTTTTTGCAGTGCATTCAGTTCCCATTCTTGCCAGCAGGTGGCATGAACCCCCAGTGCACATGAGGGGAAAAACAACGTGTTCTGAACGTTATGTCAGACTCATAAAATGTGGGAAGACTAGACATTAAAGTAGACCACGTGATTGGGTTCAGAGTAGATTCGGTGTTTTGTTGCCTGGGCCCGGCTTGGCTTGCTTTGATTGGTTCATTCCTCATATCCCATCAGCCAATTGTCTCACTGTATCTGTGAGTCATCATGCTTGTTGTTGTTGCATGTTGCTGTCCATTTCCAGGAGTGGTGCCATTGATAATATCATGAGCCGCAGCCCATCTAAACCCCACACAGCATGTCCACCTGCTGCAGACACACAGACCCCAGGCCCCAACAGGTACTGAATCACAAACAGAACCACGGAACATTCTGGAACGCTCACCTTCTGCACCATTTCTTTCCATCCATGTCACAACATTTAGCCTTTGTACGTTTGCAGAATGGTTTAGAAACAGGGCTGAACACAATCAGGTGTTACTTATTTTACACAACCTTTAGCCTGTAAGCTATCATTCTTATTTACTTTGAGCTAATGATGTTATGACTTTACTGTAAACAGAAACCAATATTTAAATTGCAGCTATTGCCTGCTGCTTTTTATTTACTTTTATTGAAAAATAGCGTCCTTCCATTGTTATAAGAAACAGTATAAAGACGTTAGTGAGGGAAAAAAAACAAACCGGAATTCAGTGATGTATTTATAGCTAAATGACCTGCTTTAAAGATATATTTTTGTTATTCCTCTGCAGATCTGTCAGTGGGAAGAAGCTGTGCTCCAGCTGTGGGCAGCCTTTAGGTAAAGGTGCAGCGATGATCATAGAGACTCTCAGCCTCTACTTCCACATTCAGTGCTTTAAGGTGGGCGACAGGGAGAGTCTTTGTCTTGTCACTGTACTGATGATGATTCTTCATGTTTTGAGATTGCAGATGCATTTCCACAGTTAACCTTTTTATCTCTATGTCCGTCCTCAGTGTGGGGTGTGTAAGGGGCAGTTGGGCGACACGGCCACAGGAACAGACGTCCGGATCAGAAATGGACTTCTGAACTGTCAACAGTGCTACATCCGCTCTCGCTGTGAGTACACCGACGGTATTCTTCCTTCCACCTTATTTCTTCCTTTTCCCACGTTTTCTATACATCGACCAAAGGTGATTTCTGTCATGAGGTGGTTAAATGTTGTAAAACACCAACAAGTTCAAAAAATGTCTTTATTTGATTACTTCTACAGTTAATTCATTCATTCTTCACTGAAATAAATGCATTTCAATCAGCGTGTGTCTGCAACTGCCCAGAATCAAGACAAAGGCTGTAACTTGCCTTTCTTCTGCCCTAAACACAACATTTCATCTCTCTGTGGCTCTACGAAAAAAATAAACACCACACTATTAGGTAAAAAACATCATTATTTCCTACTCTCAAAGCCCAAATCTGTATTTTCTTTTCTTCTCTCTCCAGCGGCGGGGCAGCCCACCACATTGTGACGCTGAATACAGAAGCACAAGGCTCGATACGGAACGAACCGCTTCCTTGTTTTAACCCAATTATCTGCACATCACGTCCTACTCATACAGCACGTCTGGATCTCTGCGTCCCGTCTTTTTCCTTTCATTGCAACTTTCCTTTTTTTTCACCAGTGGAGCTTAATCACGTGAGCCGAAATGAGGAGTCTGGGAACAAAACCACAGAAAGTAAATATATTACTATAGGGTGTTCATGTCATCAGATACAAGAGTGAAATCTGGATTCGATTGGTCTGTGTGCCATCGCGAGGTCTGTTTCATCACACAGCAGCAGCAGCAGCAGTGAGAAGGAGGAGAGAGACTGTTCAGACGCTGGCGGCCATGTTGGAGAGAGAGGCAGGAATGATAGGAGATGCAGCAATAACACAACAGCAGTGCTATGAAGTAGAATCAAATTCTATTTTTTCTAAAAGAAGGGTTTAGCATTTCATTCCATATAATGGACAAAAAAATAAGAATTTATGTCAATGATGACAGATTTTCTTCATTTATAAACATTAAAAGTCCCTGAGAAAAGA